TTTTTTTTTTCCATTTACTTCAGTAGATATATTATGGCAGCGGTTTCCTGAAAAATTTGCATTTCGATATATTGGGATTAAGACATTTGTTATGACGTTTTATTTCTTTCTTTATTTATTGCTTCTTTATCTATTTTTTGTTCAACTGTTAATGGTGAGAGAATGACGTATTTTTGATAAGATAATTTTGGTTGATTGGATTGAATTAAATAGTGTTTAAGAACGAAACAAAAAAAAAAGAATGACATATCGCGCTAAATAATAAGCATATCTTTAAAAAAATATTTTGAAATTAAATGAGGTTAATGCTTAATTTTTTTTATCAAGTGATATATTTTGCATTACGAAATTTGCATACACTAGTGAATATTATATCAGTAATGCTTTAAGAAAAAGAAAATAAAACAGAAAATTTAGGATGAATGCATTTTCCTCTTATTGCTCCTTTAATCAAGTAAAATAATAATAATAATAATTTTTAAAACAATTTGTAAACGATGCACAGACTCCTCCTTTCAAATGACCAGATGTGCTAACAACAAGGTTCGATTGCTGATTCTCAGAAAAGGGTTCTACCTTATTTGAAGACTGGGAACAAGACAAGGGGGGGATCCTGTGGCCAAGGGGGGAACACTATGCTTTAGTTGATGTAGACGTATATGTCTTGCCGAAGGACACAGAAACATTTCTGAAGGTCACGGTTAAAAGAGAGCTGCGTATTACACATGCTTTAAATAGGAATAATATCAAAAACAATCATTATTATTATTATTATTGCTATGCATCACATCAATTTTTAATCACTAAAAAAATATAAAAGTTAGTTGCGATTTCGAGCCTTTTTTTTTTACATATAACCACTTCAAGAAATAACTTTTATTTTATTAAAAAAATTGGATAAAGAATTCCTCCATTTTCTATTTACTATTTTTAAATAATTTTTTACGCACAACTATTTAAAGAAATTACTTTTATTTTATTCGGAAGATGAGATAGATAATTTCTTTATTTTCTGTTCAATATTTTCTAAAATAATTTTATTTTACAAACTTTTTATCTTGAACTCCGGCATTTGTTATCAATATTGCTCAATAAACACATAATTAGGTGAGAATTACTAATTAGTAATTAAAAAGGTAACGGAAGCAAAAGCTCGGAGAAAAAATTACATGAAAAAAAAAACCTTTATTAATGGACGCCGAGCCCGCTATCACTCCCCGAACCTCGGTACTATTTTCAACCTCACAACAATTCTTATGAGGTCGCTTCATAATGTGAGCTGGTTCCGATCTCACAGTCTTAACTCCGATCTTACAGCTCCCATGCCTTAATTTTATTAAATACCCTACTTGCATGCTTAAGAATATTTTATGCTTTATTTTGAACATATTAAAAGGTATGCGGCACTGTTCCAATCACTCACCAATCTCAGAAATTCTTTTTGCAGTGAATTTCTGACTAATTCGTTGATTCATTTAATCAACCTCAGATACAGTGAGGTTAGTTACCGATAAAGTGGTCAAAGAAAGAACAATAATAAAAAAATTGGCGTGGAATGATATTTGTTCCTTCCGCCCGAAAACCTGTAAATTTCCTTAAAAATTTAGCTCTGTAAATCTGAATGTAACAGTTGTCTAAAGACAGCATGCGAAAACTCTTTGAAGATGGAGGCACTTTCTTCTTTTGATATTTTAATTCTCTGGAAATTTTGAATTTTATTTTTCTGGAAACTGAGGGAGGTTTTCGTGGTTTTCCTGTCCTTGCATATTCGGGTTAATTCCATCAAAAACTTGATAATAAGAGATGAAATGGTTAATTTTTAAATATAGGTATGAATATAGTCATTTTAATCATAGACCTTTTATCTTAACTAAAAAAAAAATTTCTTAAATATCAAGGAAAAAATAGCTACCACACTTCTATCTCCCGCGATAGGTAGAACTACTGGGACTGTGTTTCAATATACATTTAAAGTTGACACTTAAAATTTTTTAAAAATTTCTTTCTTAGTATAGTGAAAAGTTCTCTTACGAATTAGTATTTTGAGTTATATATGTGTCAATATTTATTCCCTAATATGGCTTGGATAATAAATAATTTAAAATAAATGTGTACTTAACAAGATACCAAGATTATCCACTCTAGCCCTGAGTAGTAGAGCTAGTGTGTGCGAAAACAACATTTAAAAAAAAAAATTGGAAAAAAAAAACTCCTTTTTATGTTCAGATATTTACCAGAATTTAGTAATGCGTTCAAGTCATTGTTAAGAAAATGCCTCATGAGTTAAAAATTTTATTTAATAAGCGCTTTTGACAAATTTGCATTAAATGTCTATACTAGCTCCCTTTCATCTAACGTAATTAATTTATTCAGAAATTATTTTATATTTTCTCTGTTTAAAATCTCTTATAAATAACGAATGGTTTTTCAATTATTAAAATAATTATTAAATCAATTCTTTTAGTATGAGTGAATATTATATCAGTAATGCTTTAAGAAAAAGAAAA